ATCCGAATCGCGAAATTTCACATATGATGAACCGGAATCGCCAAATGAGAGGGCGTGTCTAAGATATACGGTGAACTCGGTATGATGAACCGGAATCGCCAATCAGGGGTCGTGTTTAGGACAAATGGTGAGTCCGATTCCATGAACCGGAATCGCCACACGAGGGGGTTTGCTTAAGATATATGATGTACCGGAATCGCCAAATGACGTGGCGTGTTTAAGATTCATGGTGAAGCCGGTATGATGAACCGGAAATGCCAAATGAGGGGGCGTGTTTAAGATATATGATGAACTCGACGCGCTAAATCATGGGGCGTGTTTAAGATATATGATGAACTCGAATCGCCAAATGAGGGGGCGTGTTTAAGATATATGATGAGTCCGAATCGCTCAACCGAGGGGGCATGTTCAAGATGTATGATGAAGCGGAACCGCCAAATAAGGGGCATGTTTAAGATATATATATATGATGAACACGAATCGCCAAATGAGGGGCGCATCTACGATATATGATGAGTCCTAATCGCTCAACCGAGGGGACATATTCGAGATATATGATGAACCGGAATCGCCAAATCAGGGGGCGTGTTTACGGCAAAGGCGAAAACGTGTTTAAGATATTTATGATGAAACCCCCAGCCGAAGACGGTTTGCTAAGTGATCTGAAAAAGTTTGCTAAGTGACCCGAAACGGTATGGATTCGAGTCTGCTAAGTGGCCCCGAAAAAAGCTTGGTAAGTGACCCTGGTCCCCGTGCTGTGGACGAGAACTTCGTGGGAGGGCTCAGTACCCCCTCCACAGACGGGGGAAGCCAGGAGGTCCCCAGACACGAAACGGGAAAAAATACAAAACGGAAAAAATAGTAAGGAAAAAAAAGCAAGCCCTAGGCCCCAGGCCTCAAAACGGAGATGCTCGCTGTAATGCACCGAAGCCAGAAAAAACCTTATGGGTGGCAAACCTCAAACCCTAAATGAAGATGGTGGGTGGCAAATCCCAAATCCGAAAAAGCAAGACATCGGTTGGCAAACCCTACTAGGCCTTAGGAAGAACATACAGTATTGGTTGCAAAACGAGGGTCGCAGGTGGACAATCCCAAACCTTAACAGCAAGCACGGGTGGCAACTCTCAAACCCGCAACATCCGACGACACAACATACTGTTTGGCATCCCTGAGCTTCGAAAAGGAGATGTTGTTTGGAAAACCCCAAGACCCGGAAAGATGCACGCGCCTACAAGCCCCAAACCCTAAACAGAAGATCGTGGGTTGCAACTCCCTAACTCGATACAACAATATGTTGGTTGGCAAGCCCTATGCCTCAAAACCAAAAGTTTCAGCAAAGCTTCCAAACAACTCGCAGAACCCCAATACCCGAACAAGAAGATCTTGAGTGACTTGAGTGGCAGTTGCCATATCTAAAACAGCAGCGCATTGGTTGGCAAGCCTTTGGCCTCAAATCGGAGATGTTGCTTCGAAGCCCCAAAAGAAGCTGCTGGACGGCAATCTCGAAACCCTAACAGAAGATCTCGGGTGGCAACTCCCAAACCTCAAAAAACAATATATTGGATGGCAAACACTGAGCCCTAAAAAAGGCAATGTTGCTTGGAATGCCCAAAATTCCTAAAAGAAGCTCGCGAGTGGCAAACCCCAACCCCCAAAAGCAAATCGCGGGTGGCAATTGCCAAACGCGAGAAAAACAACAGACCTTCCTACGCCTCAAAAAGGACAGTCGTTGCAAAACCCCAAAACACCAAAAGGAGCCCGCAGCTTGAACACCACAAACCCTCAAAGAAAAGCGCGGGTGGCAACTCCCAAACCCTAAAACTCTGAAAGCCCACCATGCTGGTTGGCAAACCCTGGCCTCAAAAACGAGATGTTAAAAAAGATGCTCGCGGGAGGCAAACCCTAAACCCTGAAAAGAAGATCGTCGGTGCCAACCCCCGAACTCCCACAAAACAACAAAACGGGCCGCCCTTGTTTGCGTGTTTTGCGGTCATTTCGCTGTCAAAGCACCCAAGGTCCAGGTAATATCTAGTAAAGCCAAAAAACGAAACCACCAAAAACACCAAAAACGCCTCAAAAAACAAAAACACCAACAAAACCAAAAAAAGACTAAACAACAAAAACAATCGAAAAAACTATTTTCCGAGACTCCTGCGCAACTGACAACCCATTCAGAGAGTTCCGGAAAATAGTTGTTTTGTTTTTTTAGGTTTTTGGGTTCTCTTGCCCTGTCCCTGGTCGTGTTGGATTTCCGCGCGCCACTACCTGCGCGCAGGGAATCTGCGTGAGGTCGCCTGTTGTGCCAATCAAGAGTACTTCAAAATTGCATGTTTCCGTGTTGTTGGCTTCTTTACTACATGCTGCAATATCGGCAGCACTTTTCTATTGGTAAAAATCCTTAGCCTTAGCTGTTCCTAATACGTGTAGATATATCAAAATGCATAACAATATACATGTGCAAATATATGAGTGTGTACATATATACTCATGTATATATACCTAAATACACACATACATAGAATCAAAACAATAGATAGATAAATAGATAAAGAAAACAATAGATATACGTATACACCCCTGTTTTCAAAATACAGGTGTATATATATATATATATATACATGGCACATCCTGACCAATTGCAAGATTACTGCCAGTTCAAGTATATCAATATAAGAAAACATGTGCATATGTGTTCTGAATCTTTATGCGTGCGTTCCATACAACGTAGCCAAACACATATATGAAACGTAGGTAAATACTAGCTGCACACTTCATCAAAGCTTCGCTTACACGATTATATCTTCATGTCAGTATTCGGGTGCATCGAAGGCCTGGCATGAGAATATGCTCGTATGCTCTTACACATGCCTGAAGGTGAGCTTGTTTAGCTGTGGGCTATACATCAAATTCCGTAATGCTGACCAAATGCCATCTCTTATTCAGGGTAGGTACGAAAATACGAAAGGTCACATGTATCCATGTATATACACACACACACATGCGTGTAATTAGCGAAATACTGGTACAGTCTTGCTGTTAGCATCTGTATTCTTACGGACTCAAAAAGAGATCTGCTTGTTATGTGCGCGTTATCGCAACAACCCTTAATAAGCAATAAGTACAATGCCAACATGATGCAACATAGATTAAAGTAATCGCACAAGCCGTACCAAAGACTAAAGACATCCGACGACAGACGTGCTACAGGAGCCTGAATGCAGATGCTACTGTAGTGTGAGAAAACTTAATAGGCAAAGGTGTGCGCAACACATAGTCGTCGGAAGACCTTATCGCTGTGATTCATGTATGTAATCTGCCTCTATATTGAATATGTACATGTATATATATATATATATGTGTATGTATACCCACGCGTCATCTTCTTCATCATATCTGTTCTTGGCTTCCTGAGTCTTGATTGTCTAGACCATTGGGTGTCGTCCTCTACTCTATGGCAATATGCTAGTACATCACCATGTTGTCGTGCAAAAACGCACCCACTTACATATATACATATATATATAGATATGTGTACATGTACATATACATATATGTGTGTGTTCATTCATGAATATATATATATATATATTCACATATAAACAAACAAGTTAGTACATATATACATACATGTATAAATAAATAAGTAACATATATACATAGACATCTGTGCCTAGATTTCTCTACATATGCATATAAGGGTCGGTACTATCCTTGTGTTTTGCCACTTGCCCTGTTTGTCCAATACGATTTGTGGCATACACATCTATGCATATATCTGTAGTATGAATATGTATATATCTGTGCATACATACAGAACTATATATATATATGTACAGATATACGTTTACAGACCTATATATGTATATATGTATGCATATTAATACATATGTATATGTGGGCTTATATATATATATACACATTTTTGTTTATGTGTGTGTTTGCATGTATAAATAAACATATATATATATATGATATATGTATGTAGATGTGTATGTATCTACATATGTTATAACAGACTCGCAATGACTGTTCTTTTTACTCGTGCATGCTTGGACGGTGCAACTTAGACTATAGGTTATACGTGTTTATTTGCAGACTTGCGTCTTTTGATATAATGAAGGTTCAGCCTAGAGTTTGCGTGCTTGGCACCTTGTGATCTGTCATGTCCATACATACATACATGCATACATACACTCACATGAACGTACATCAATATGAAATATACAAACCGACTGGATAAGGGTAACAACAACAACCAAACAAAGCGCACTCCCACAGCGACCCAGACTGAAAAACAACATGTTGGTTGGCCAACAAACCCTTGGCCTCAAAAAGGAAATGTGGGATGAACAACACCGAAACCCCAACTGAAACACCAAAAGAACCCTACGACAAACCGCATAATATTACGGTGGGAAACCACAAACCCCAACGACAAATGTTTGGTCGCAAGCCCTAAGCATCAGAAAGGAGATGTTGACTGGAGAACACCGAGACCCCAACTGAAACCAAAACAACCTTATGAGTGGCAAACCCAAAACCTGAAAAGAAGATAGTGGGTGGCAACCGCCAAACCCGAAAAACGACATGCCGGTTGGCAAGAACCGCGCCTCAAAAAGGAGATGTCGGCTGAACAACACCAAACACCCCACAAAATGGCACACCCCAAAACCAAAAAAGAGATCGTGGGTGGCAACTCCCAAACCCGAAAAACGAAGTGTTTGTTGGCCAGGATATGTTGCTTGACCGCAGCAGCAGCAGCTCTCGTCTGGGGGTTTGCGTCTGAGTCTGTCTTCGGCGTTTTTCGAAGAAGTTCTCAGTCGGCCCGTCTTGTTTTCCGAACTTATTTGCTGAATCGGCCCAGTGTTTTGACAAACCCTCTATCTACTCTGTGAGAGCGGAGGAGTGAGTCAGTCAGTGAGTGGGTGTAGCCACTGCAAAAAAATGGTAAGGAAAGCATCAAGTGGGGAATAGGAGTGGTGTCAAACTGGCCACAGCACCGAACAAAGGCTTTCGTAGCTTCGCAGACATAGCTTTGCAAAGGTCCGATGATGGCCTGCCGGCTGACTCGTTCATGCAACATCTACACGTTGCCATTGCACATTGGATTGATTTAGACCGGTATTTCCCCAAGCTCGCAGCGGCCAAGGCACAGGATCGCAATCCATGAGGAAATCCTTAGCATCTGCTTGCAGCATCTTCTGAATACCTTGGCTGCTCAAGGGGCAGAGGCTTGCCGTCTCCAAGAGCCAGAAGAGCAAACCGCAATTATCGGGGGTGCGCGTAGTCCGATGATGGCTCGACGCCTTCTTTCTGCCAAGCCTCGGGTGGAGAAGACCTGAAGCGCCACCACGGCCAGGGCCAAGCACCTGTGAGAGAACGAGAGAGAGAGACAACCTCGCACAAGCGTTCGATTCCAAACTGTCATGACTGCAGCTGGGAGTCTGCCGCCCTTAGCGGAACTGCAGCTCTCTCCACTAACGCTCTTTTCCCACTGTACGGCCCCTTCAGGCTTCAAGGCTTGGCATGCGGCATGTACATTGTTCAGATCCACGCAGATCATCTAAACTCGAGAATTGTTGCAACAGAGCAATGCCCATCTTTAGTAGAGTGTGTAATACTGTCTTGTCAGGCCTGGGAACCGGGCTACACATGCACGACTTTTGTGCATGGATCAGGACAGCCTACCGGCACCTTGCGGCAAGCATGGTGAGGTCAAAACTTGTGGTCACACATCACCGATGCACAGCTGTTGACGCCGGCACACATCTGCAAACTGTGCTGCAAGGCCAGCCCAGCCGAAGTCGGAACCGAACAATCGGAGACATGTGCTAGGCGCGAAGACAGGAGATCAAGAAATCCCAGGGACCGACTACCATAGCCGTGTAGGCGAAGACAAACAGAGGCTCCCCAAGCTGCTCCTCAGCATAGGCAACAATCGCACCTCCCTACCATCTTGCCATGCAATATATAACATCAGGCTCTTCTCGTGATCAACATCCGTGTGCCATTCAACATTGTGGAGCGTACGCTGGCATGAGCTGCTGAGCTCAGGTCCCACTCGAAGACTCTCGGGTCTGTATACTCCAGCGGAGAAGCATCTGGCGCACCTCACTGGGCATGGAGGTATGGTGATCGTGAGAAGTGATTGTCAGAAGATGTCAGAATCATAGCACACTTCCAGCCTCCTGCCACTTGCGCGTAGCTGAGATCACCTGTGCAAACAAACAGCCGAAAAGCCTAGCCGCCTGTTCTACCAGGCGCTCGACAAGGCACGTGGCGGTCAACCGACTCGGGCTCTGCATTCATTCTCCCAAGCGAGCAGTGCGCAAGGATGCGGGTACTACTGATCTGCAAACATGGTACTGTAGGCCCCACCTGATTCTCGCATCATTCCGAACCAAGCAGTAGCCGTCTGGGTTCAGCCCAGCCCATGGCGCATTGAAGGCATGTTGTTGCTGACAGCTTTCGTAACCATGTATCTGCATACTCACCTAGCACTTCTGCCATCCAAGGACATGGCTGCGCATGATTCTATGAAGCACTGCTGGGTCTCGTGCTTTCAACATGCTGACGGCGTGGTCAGTGGCACCTCCTCCTTGCGCACTTCTCTGTGCTTCTATAGGGCATACCGTTCAGAGGGCTTGTCACTGGCCCCAAAAGCTGCATTGCCCCTTTCGAGCTGATCCTTGCACCCCAAATTCGATAACTTCAGCGAGGCCCTGGGCTTTTCCAAAACTTCTTCGCGAGATCCAGTGCCCCCCCCCTGTCAAGTTCATAGACACATACAGGCACGCGTGCACGCGCACGCTCACAGACACGTCACAACAACATGAAGCTTCTCATTGCTCCTCGCAGCATGACGCACCATGCTTTTCTTTGTTATGTAATCCACCCTAAGCTGCCTGCGCCCGCCTGATGCCGAACTGATCCCCGACCTTGTGCGACATTGCCTGTGACTGTGACTTTCCACTCAACCCTGAAGCCTCCTACTCTGATCTTTGCTCCGTGGATCTCCATGGGTCCAAAGGCCAAGCCCAATGTGAAGTCTACCGTCGTCGTCGCCAAGGCTCGCGCTTCCCTCGCATGTGCTGCATGAAGGATGCAGTGACTGGTGTGTGCGAGTTTGGGCTGAGGCACGTCTCTGCTCATGGCCAAGTCTGAGTAGCGTGCTGCTGCTGCTTGCCCCTGGTTGCGGTGCGGTGCGCAGCCCAAAACCGCTAGTGCCACATCAAGTGTTTCCTTGCAGGGCTGAGTCGGGCACGAGAGGGCTCGGGTTTAAGCTCCACATCGCGGCGGAGGCCTACGGCTGTGCTGTGCATTTGCGTGGGACCCCCTCCTCTTGGATGGAGCTGGCGGTTAAACAAAAAAACTGGGTTCACATCTCTTCACTTGTGTGTGTGTGTGTCATCTTGGCTCCCAGGGGCCATGCTAATCTTCTCTGTCGTTCCAATGTTAGCGGAAGGTCCCCGAAGACTTCGTCTTCACCACAAACAAGAGAACGAGGGCACTGAAGGGGCTCTTGCACACTCTCTCGCTTGCAGCTAGACTTCGGCAAGCTAGATGCATGCAGCCAAGCCAGTAAGATTGAAGACAGGTTCAAACACAAGGGCGAACAGAAGACAACAATGCAGAAGAATCGACGAGCTTCTCCATCATCTAACAGCACGAACTTTCAGGAAACCAGGGTCGCCTGTGCCCCAATGACAACGGCCGTGGGTTCATAGTAAACTGTAATGAACGCACTTTCATCTCACCCAAAACCTGCGAACAAACAGGCTTTGCAAGTACTCCTGAAAATCTAATGTCTTCGAATCAGTTGACAGAAACGCGCTTTAATGCATGCATGCTTGAATGTATGCACATAGCATCGTGGCTTGGCTTTTCTGGATGCAGTCAGCAGCCAAAGGACAGGCCACCGATCCCGCAGCAGCACTGGCGGAATCCCCGGCTGAGCTCCTTGGTTGCACTTCTAGCTTTCGGGCCGCAGCTGGCCTAAGCCAGCCGTCGACAGCTGTGAGCAACGAGTAGAGAAGTCTCTTGATGCTTTCTCTACGCAACGCTACGGAGCAAGTTCAGCTGTAGCCCGCGACTCAGGCTGCGTGCAAGCCTCTGACATTCGTGAGAGTGGCAGCCAGTTGACTTGGACATGTATAGCTGCTGGTGCGAAGAGGGGGTTCGGTCGGAGTGCCCCTGTCACTTCAGACTGAAGTGGCAAACACAGTTCTGCCCACGTGCGGAGGAGCATCCATCTGCAAGATGATCCTGCGGCCGGACGTCACCGGTGAAATCCAATGCTCGCATTGGTCGCCGTAGAAGAACACGGCATCGCCTCCCAAGGCTTGGACCAAGACTAAGATCATGCTCCAATGCAAAGCAACGGTTGGGGATTGGCTGGACACAGTCCGCGGTGCAGAATGAGAATGTTTGGATGTTGTCCACCTGTCCCAAGCCTCACACTTCGAGTATCCTTAGCTGCAAGACTCGTGCCGAAGCCACAAGGTTTCATTGACCTTGACCTTCCACTCGTGTATCACCCACTAAGACCAGCTAAAACCCCGGTGTTCTCAAAGCTGCCAAATCCTCCGAGCGGGAGGAAACACCCATTCAGCAGAACATACGCTAACCTCCCACCGTCTGCCATAATTGGCGACAGCCTTCTGCAACAAAGCATCGCCGCCCTTCCACCCAGGTTCAAAGAAGTTGATGCCCCCTTTGAACTCTCTTGGTTGAGACAGAAGCACGACAACAGTCACCTGAGCATGGGCTGTCGCTGGTTGCTGTAAGCACGTCAACATAGAGCCACGGTGGCCTGGGAGTCGTTGTCCCTGTGGGGTTCAATTGTTCCCGGTTCGCCAAGCTTTTCCACATCGTACTGAATATACCTTCGGTCTGGTGATGTCAAACTGCAGGCATATGCAAGCATATGCAAGGATGAACATGGCCGGAATGAGCCGAGCCGCTCAATCTCGGGATAGAAGCGGTCGCCCACTTCAATTTCGTTCCAAAGCTCGTTGTCCAACGCCCTCTGGCTCAAGCCCCACACACGGAAGCAACTCGCTCTGAATGGCCCAGACCCAGACATCTCCTCTCCTGCAGTGGTCCATGAGCCGCCTGTAAACTTTGGGAGCGGCCTCCTCGCGACAAATGCAACTACGCCGACATCTCCGTCCGGATCTCCAACGCCCAAAAATGGAGGACTCTGCCGCCACGGCCAAAACAAAGCCACTCCGGGCGAGAGTCCGCTAAATCACAGATGAGATTTTCGCACGCCTTTTCGTTTGACGATGTGTCAGCAGTTCGTCCCTGCAGCAGATGTCACCATTTCGTCCCGCTGAGCATCCGCAAAAACAGAAGTGGTGTTGTCGTCTACCACAAAGAAACCAGTTTGCGACGGCAACTCGCGGTCATCGCCAGAAAAGGGCTCAAGAACTCAATTAGGAAAGGCTTCAAAGAACTCAATGAGTTTGGTTCGTGTCAGAATGTTGTCTGGGCCGTTGCACCTCCCTGTAACTGCAATGTATTCATTGCGGTAGAACTGCACGAGTACATTTAGAGAATGCCGCCTGCTGCCTTCAATATGGTTTCTTCGTTTGGATGAATCCAAGACGACAGGAAATCACCGGCCCCGCGGCCAGGCATTGTTCTCAGCCTCGTGCTGAGGTTTCGAGATTGGGAAGCTAAAGAGAAATCCCTTTGCATGTCGCTGGCCGCTTGGAATCAAGGGATACAAGCCGAGCCCCAGCTGCAGAAGGCAACGACACAAGGACAGTAGTAACTACTGAACGATTCATCCTTGTCGCTTGAAGTTGCGCTCAATCACGATGCGCTCCCGCACTTGCTCTTGGAGCTTCTTCTGTTGCAAGTGAACACAGTGTGAGACCCTGGTTCTTCCTCTTCCTTCATCCATATCCATGCCATGATGCAACGACCGTCATCTGCCCACAACATGGATTGCCACAAAAGCTGCGGTCAGTGCTTGCTTGTGCTTGAACCGCATTGAACCGCTCTGTTTCGGCTGCTGCTGTCAAGCTGAAATCGGCTGCGCTTCTGAAGCCGGCTCAAGTGATTCTTGGAGCAGTGCAGGCTTGCCCGACATGGATCAGTCGCCTGACCGGGGCCAGGCCAACAAGGTTTAGCGATGTTTAGCGGAAGTTGAAATGGAGATGGACTGTTCCAAGCAAGGTGACGGGTTGTGACGGGGGCATAACGGACTGGCAATGATGGACGGGTGCGAGTGCAATCGCCTGTGGGGAATCGTGAACCATGCCAGATGCTGTGGTTCCCTGCTAGATTCTGCTAGATACGAGTAAGGCAGATGCCTGCATCGCTTTGGAGTGTTGCTCATGATGAGCAGCCGTTGCAAGTGCTCTTCACTGATAGTGTTGCTCATGAATGTTGAGCTGGCTGGGCTGGCTATTTGCTTGTCGTCGCTTCTTGTCGTGTCGTGTTCGCCCAGCTCAACCAGCAGTGCTTGCACGTGGCTGCAACAGCGACTGCCCTTCAACACTTTGACAGAGAAGGAATGTTTGCATTCTGTGCGGAACATGCTTCGTGTTTGGGCACTCCCTCCACAAACTACCTAAGGAGTTGCACGGTCTCCTAGCGGATATCCTTTCCTGTTTCTTTGCGACATCGAGCCCCCCAACCACCTCCAAAGGCATAAGCCTCGGGTTCTCGAACAACACCGTCACAAAATCGTACATCTGGGAGGAAAGAAACTACAGTGAAAGGAGAATTCGCAACTTGGTCAGTTCATAACACCACCTGCTGGTCGTCGGTCTGGTAAACTGGTGACTCCTCCTACCTACACGGGTCTTGTAGTGGAAACTCATCGTCGATGTTGGCGGGGAAACAGACTTGTAGGGATTAGTAAACGAAAGCTGCTGGTGTTGCGAGTGTGGTATTATCGACAGCTTGCGCCGCTCATAGACGCGGATGTCCGTCACCACACTATGCTTCAGCTGTCCGAGACATCTTCAATGCGTCCTGCAGCTCATGCTCCATCCTCCAGACTTCGTGCCGATAGATCAGATCATCGTCGCGATCATCGATCTCCTGAATTTCAGAATCATGCGCGACACAACGACAAACCGTATATGGCTTTCAATAGAATTTAAACTCAGACTGGGTGAAGGAGGGACAGTATTCCGCCTTCAGCTCGAAGGCTTGGCGCATGCCACTGACTTGCAGCACCTGCGGCACAGCCCCAAGAAGCTTTATTTCGAAAGCTCTCTCAAGTCACCTCTCTCGAGCTTCAATTCCTATCGAACTCAGGTTAATGCAGGCACGACGGCAGGACCTCCTTGGGCGATAGAAATCCACGAACCACTGCAACTTGAAGCTCCTGAGGCAGCACCAGCCCACTTCTTTGCACCAGTCTCTTGTTGACATGCCGCGGCAGCAGCTTGAAATGCAGCAATGCACCCTAGCTACCCCTTCCACATGCTAGAACGAGCCTCTTGCTCGGCATCCAGCAGTTCGAAGCATGGTGCAGGTGGAGGGTCGTTATCAAATTCCACGACGCCTTAGCAACTGTCAGAGTGTCAACTCTATGTTTTCAAGGAAGATGAATGAGGTTGCAGCGGCCACGGAAAGGCCCATGGATGCAAAGCGGCACGAGCGACGCGTGACTGCCGGAACATGACGCAGGAAGCTCACCTACATCATAGCCTAGTGCTGGCTTAGCCCCTGACAATCAGCCACGTCTCCCGTTTCCAGGAGCCCACACAACCATGGCAAAGCTTGGACCATCTATCTGCAACTCCCGCAGACTCCGACATGGAGCCAGATTCTGATTTACCAATTGTGGCTAAACATCTAATACGAGCCGGTGGCCTGCCCTTGCCCAGCGTGAAGTGCCTCTGGGAGTGACTACTTCTCCTCGAAATGGCTTCGACCCGGGGCATTTCGTGCATGCAAGCAGCAGTTTAGAGCAACACCACCGTGCATCGATGCTTCTGCTCTGCACCCAGCCTCCATTCGAAAAAGGCTTGGCCTCACAGCGGCAGAGGTGCCGCTCATCAAGGTCTAATTATGCTGAAGGAACTCTTGACCTGTTTGCATGTAGACCTGGACATTGCAATCGCCGTATGTATCAAACGGAGATCGCATCCCATCTCCCGATCGTGACCCACTTGCGTGACAGCAACCGACTATACGAAAGCTATTCAAGTCAACTCTGCTTTGCTATGTCCTTGTACCCTTTTGTCAGGCAGCCCTTTGGACAAAGCACGGTTGATAACAGCGCTCACTTCCGTGTTATTCACTGCCCCTCCTCTGCCGCGCCTCCCCTTTCCTTCCACACCGTCTCTGGGGACTTTTCCGGCGGGGCCGTTTGCCCTTTGCACCCTCTGCCCATCCTCTTCCCTTTTCGGTGAATCCCCGTAGCCCTCGGCATGGTCACGGCCGCGCGGCCATGGGACTTGCGTTTGAGGGTTCAAGGAGCAATGGGCCATGCAGGGCCCCTGAACATCCGAAGGTGCCAAGAGAATCCGCTTCCACCATGGCTTAGCTGAAGAGCCAGCACCAAACACAAACATCCTGCTTCCTGTGTCAAGTCGCAGACTACCGCTTGTGCAACGATGTGGGATATATGGAACGGGCATCAGGGTGGCGGTCCAAATGGGTGCCGGTTGCTGCTACTGTCTTTGTCCAACCCAAGGTTCAAGATGACATGTCGCTCTCTTGGAACGAACCGAGCCCATACGAGTCGATCCCTTATCATCACTGTTGCTCCTAGCACATCAGCACCAAGCCATTTTTGAGCATGATGCAATTCATCACGAGTTTCTCGTATGCACCACTGCACGAGCAGTCGTGACACGAGGTCCGCAATGCGCACGAGGCTTGAGTAGCCAGACCAAGTGCTAGCCGCCAATGCTTGCGGAGACGAGAGCCGCAGGAGGCCACGCGGCCTGAGTCCTTCGCCTTTTTCAACGAATACAAATATCTGTATCTGTTCACACTTTGCTCTGCCTCGGAAATACTGGACACTGATGTGGGAATCAATGGAGAAGACGAGGCGTCTCCAAGGCGGGCCAGCATGTACATGTTCAAAAGCTCGGCAGACTTGAAGGCACTCTTTCACCATCTATTATCTGTCGAATTCTACCAGCTGCGAGGACTATCCTCACACATGCAGAGACTTGTGTGGAATGCCTTCGAAGAATGCGGCCAGTTAAGAAAATCGCAGTCGGGCAACAAGTGAAGCTAGATGGCTCAAGTACTGCACTTAAGTTCTGATTCCTTGGACAATGGCGGTCTACTCCTGTCTACATTTACACTGGCCGATGTACAAGCTGAGGTCCTGCTGCCCTGCTTGTCAGCCCGTTTAGAAAGTCGTGGGTTGAGGTGAGCTGGCCCCCTTTTGGCTAAGAGGCATGACACTGCCAAGCAACGGGGCAGCTCCAGAAAATCATGATGCCTGGCGGCTGGCAGGCACGAAAATGAAAATGCCGGTCGGGCTGAAAAGTTTGAAACACATCAGTGAAAACACCGAATACTAGCACAAGGGCCGCATGTGGATCCTTGTGATCACGCAGATCATTGGTTCTTCAATTGACTCCCCTCTCCCATCGAATGCGAGGAAAATGTCTCAGGTATTTTCAGGTCACAAGGATCACATTCCACAATTGGCAAACAAAACGTGGCTGCACGTCTCTTCCGGGCAGGTACATACCACCAGCGAAAGCTTTGCGGAGAGCCGTTGATAAATGTACGCACAAACACGCACTAAATTCTGGCCGTAACTGTCAACACGAATTCTGTAGTGCTCACCAGCACTGTGCACACAGCTTGCCGCAGAAAAAGGTCTCATGCTCCTTCTAGAAAAGCTCGACTTTACGACCGCCTGTATGGAAAATTTCTGTGCAAGGCAGATCTAGAAAGCTTTCGGCCTCGAAGTAGCCGCGAAGGAAAGCGCTCCCAGTGGAGAATTACAGCGTGCTACCGGCAACTCGCGCCACTCGGTTAATAGGGCGACAGGCCAGGACCAAGCAAACTTGGAGTTGGCCGTTGCGGATGGACGCTATAGCCGAATGTTGCTTAGCAACCTGCACATGGGCAGCAGCCGAAAAGCTGAAAACTGAAGCATCTCAGTTCTGCTGCCGACTTCCACACCTTGACCTGCCATGTGAACTGCTGCCGTGGCTCGATGAGAATGCATACATCGTGACACTTCTTGCATGGACATTCAGTAGCTCAGCTCCAGTCATCTCATACAAAGTGAGTAGGCCTCGGGGCGACGCTCAGACACGAGCACTTGCAAAGCGATGGAGAGAGCGATAATCACACGCACAAACGCGCACACTGTGCGCATGCAGGCCCAAGACATCTCTCCTCGTGGCCGAAACGCAAGGCACTCGCTGAATAAGTCAGGTGGCGTGGCATCCTGGTCCAAATGGGCCAAATCCAAGTCCTCGCACATTGAGCCAACATTTATTTATTGATCCTCGGAGTCGGGAAGGTACGCGCGTACGAGGGTGTGCAGCAGACGTGGATGCAGATGGCCACTAGTCACCAATCGAATCTGCCGGGTGCCTTCTTCTCAAAACAAAAGCTGGGATGAACGTAGAACACAACAGACATCAACAGATGTATGGGGCAACGGTTGGGAGGAATGTAAAGCCAGAGGTTGAAGAAGCATAGTCAACGCGACCTGAACTTTCCTTGGGCGACTGAATTGCGAGTGCAACGCCCTGATGCGCCTCGAAGCTAGAGCTGCTGCTCGCACTCGAGTAATTGATTGTAGTCCATGAAGGAACTCGTCCTCCCGATATCAGCAAATTCCCGCGGTCTTCAACATGCGACAAAACGTGCCTTGAAACATGGGCAAGCTGTCAGCTGTCGATGCCGCCTTTGCTAAAAACAGACAAAGTGTATCAAAGTGTCACTGTATGCGGATCCAGGCTGCAGGCTGGTTGCCACAGCTAGTGCAGCTGCGGCATGACTGCAGTCGAGCAGGGAGGAGTACGGTGAGATGATGTGCAGCGAAGGAAACGAGTGATGCCAGAGAGGAGGTCAGGAACAAAAGCGTTTCGACATTGAAGAAATGCGAAACTGCGCTGGTGGTAGACGTCGCCTTTATTCGACATGAACGGACCCGGCACGTCTACGCTCCCACAAGCTGTGCTGCAGAAAAGGCACGCAGAAGGGCTGGCCAAGGACGGCCAGGCTTTTGGCAACTGATTCAACTGATCCCTGAGATGAGGCTGCATCCCGTGCAGTGCACAAGTTTAAACTGCGCCCACTTCTCTTCAAGTTGAAGTGCTATTGCACATATCCGGGTATCTTCTGCTGAAAGTATTGGTCTTCAGCTCGCATCAAAGACGACTGGCATACCCCTCACGTGAAAAACGAACTGCGTCAGAGAATAAGGCAAGCGAAATTTCCTTGAATCGGGAGCCACTGGGCCACTCTGCTGCCGAAATGCTGACAAGAACGGATTCATCTGGGCTGCTGCCTCCTGCGCACGGCGCTTGCGACATGATTTCTTGGCGTTCTGTAAGTAATACAAATACTGCACGGCAGGCAATTCGATGTGCAAATGTGTTGGGATGTATCCGGCACCTGTCGCATCAGAGGGCTGAGAGAAATGAAGGCAGGCCCGCGGTCAGACTGCAGAGTCCTCAGGACAGCGCACGCACTTCACGCAAAGTCATTCACGTTGCCCATGCAGCACTGAAACCTCAGCATCTTGAAATCCGTATTGAGGAAGCGGCATTTCCTTCTGCGCCAGGGATGGCATCGGCCAATTGCCTTGCCGTCCTTCGCCAGGTTTGACGAGACAGGTTCGTCGAGTCTGAATGCAAGAAGGAAGCGAGTTGTTCTCAACTTGTACAACCGTGATCCACGGAGGTGCCTTCCAACACCTGTCATCCGGTGCCAGAACCGTGAACATTTTGCAGAACAGTTCCCAGGACGTCCAGGACAATTCCGAGAACCTTATGTCCAATGCTCCCAGTAATGTCCTTTCGTAGTGCCAGTGTAACCACTTTGTCCGAAGTTCCCACCTGCACTGGTCTTTGTTCATCGGTGATCAACTTTCCTCTCAGTGCTCGCAGGTGCTAGCAGGTGCGCTTGCCTGCAGCTGCAGCGTTCAACAAGAGAGACGCTGCGTAGCTCTGGCTCAAGTCGAAGCCTGACACACCCAGCAAAGGATGGCAGATGTCAGTTGCGACCCCAGAGTCTCCCAACCGAACCTGGTTGGGCTTCCACGTCAGGCTCCGCGAGCCCTGGGGGTGCGGCGATTGCGACCTCTCAGGTGCTCATGCTGATTCTACAGCACTTCTCGAAAAAGAGAGATCTTCCATGATCTTCCGCGATTGAAGCGTATTAGCCCTGTATTGCCATGGACCCTCGCGTAGTTCAGACCACGAGATGGCCAAGCCAGAGTCACGGCCAAAGGATTGTGCAAGCGGGGTTTGAGAATGCATCTGCTGCATCTGGCTTTCACACATACACCATTGACATGCAGCTGTTTAGAAGTGTCTCCAGGAACAGTGCAGTTGCGATGGGTGATAAGCTGCGATGTCAAGCTCACAGTTGAGAGTTTAGTGCGGGCGGGTCAAATTTGTCCTGACGGCTTTTTGCAGATTCCACCTGCTCTGGCCACTAACACGACCGCAAGGTCAGCGATGCCTGCTCTAGTAAAGCTGGCTTTTCGACAAACATGGCTGAATCTACCACCACGCTTTCTGATGAGTTTATCACGTTTAACGGGCAGGGCGACACGACTTGACCTGAATTTTGCGACCACGGGCCTTCTGGGCAGGCTGTGGAGCTTGCAGAAGCTCGTGTTCACCATGGGCGTGCCGGCACTCCTGCAGAGACCATCATACACTTAACGGGGGACAGGACAGCGGCAGGTCGCAGACATAGCAAATTGGCAAAACATGTGGCGAAAACCATTTGCTCCTCACCCAGTCGGCAACGCCCGTTCAGGTGGAACTTGCACAGCGATGTCTGCAAGCAGGCAAAATCCGACAGTAAGTTTCGTCAGAAACTGGAGCCAGCAGCCACCGGCTGGCCGGCTGGATGCAGCCTGTTTAGTATCTTCGGGCCTTGAAGAACTTCTTGGTCGCGCGGAGCTGCTCCGGGTTGTGAGCGAAGGAGCACGCAGGATCGTCGCAGACACCGGTGGTTGCGAACTTACCTGCGACATCAGACTAGTCACCTCGTATCACATCACAGAGGCAATGTACGGTCTGTGGAATGAGCCTGCTTTCACTGCAAGTTTTCGCAGCGGGCGATATGCACATATAATATAATCTGTACCATCTTTGCTGGAACTGGTAATGCAGCCATGCCACGGCAAAGCGATGTGAATGAGAGATCGGGACGTGCTTGCAACCTGCGGGCCCGCAGCCAGCTCATTAGGCATTAGCTAGGCTTAGGGAACTTTGGACCGAGGGGACAGACAGATCGGTCGCCATTGTCTTCGGGGTGCATCTATTACTAGTATTATTGTTATTATTATTATTATTAAATTCCATGCGCCCTCGAACCTTGGCCTAATTGCGATGCGAGAAACTCAGTAATGCCATGTGCATACTTGCAGTTGCTGCCCCGATTGCACTTGCCCTTCTCGAAGAACGAGCACTGGCGAGTCTTGTAGAACCTGACGACTGCACTGCGCTGACGGTTACGTGTTCTGTCCTCTTTCTGCCGAGTGGCTGCAGCTCATAGCGAGCTCGGTCCTTGTTGCTGGCCTTGATAAGCGGAATGAATGACCGTAAAGCAGACCTATGACAAGTTGCGGGCCTGTGGAGTCGCGAGCTTCTCGGAGGCGACATTGTCTGCAAACTCCAGTGTCATCGTCATGGTGAATGGATTCCTGTCGGGTAGTTCCGCCGGACAGTCGCGCAAGCGGGTTGCTGTGCCAAGCTTCGTAGAACTGGGAGCCTAGCAACACGCTCGCAGGCTCGCAGGCTTCGCACTTCGCCAGTTGCAAAATTGTCTCGAGCCGCAGCAGCAAGCCGCGAATGCTATATTCACAAATGGATTGCTATGATAGTAAGAAATGCGCTGTTGCATCATGCTGCCATGTTTTGCACATCGCCTGAGTTGTCGAAAACCTGAGGGCAGTGCAGCGATCGCCGCGCGCAATTCGGCATTATTTTGCTCGACCTGCGGAACTAGGCTAAGCGTGCGCTGCTTGCTGACCTGGGGGGTCTAGTTGGCATCGCCGCTGCGGTGCGCTTGCTTGGGGCTTAAAGCTGTGCGTACATCACGCGGCAGTTTCTTCTGAGAACTACCTGCATGCAGAATATTTGCAGCATTTGCAACGGAGCCTGCCCATAGCTCACGGCCATAGACCTTGTTGCGACTGTTGAACACATGAGCTTGGAACTGAGGGTATTTCTTGGCCATCCGCTGGAGTTGCAGCTCCAGCTCGGAAACTGCCACTCGAAGCCTTTGCAACAAACGTTCACAAGCCGAGTCTGCAGCAGGACAGATTCAAAGTCTCAGTCTCGGTTCCCAGCTTCTGACGCTCCTGCTCAAGTCGACCCACACGCTGGTCCAGCTGGCACACACGGCTGCAATCCCGCATCTTAGTGGAAAGTCTCGTACCATTCTGTGCTGCTGGCAAACCATCTTTCACCACCCTCGCCTCTTGCTGCAGCTCATTCACTTCCAAATGCAACGCCTGCAACGTTGAGCCAATCGGGTCAGCCACTGCGAGTTTGCTGGCAGTCGATGCATGCGCTACCAACCTTGTTCTCCATTTCCAAGGCATCCGCCTAACTGAAGCATGCAGGGAATTATATCGACAATCGGTCTGTTTGCTTTATTGAAAACCCAGACATATTTTAAACTACGTTAAGTCAAACACTTTTTCCAAATCTTATGGTCTGCACCCTGTGCACGTCTGTACATGTGCTCGGTGAAACTTTGCAACGACGGACCCCTGTCTAGCGGTGGTCCAGGGGCTTCTCGAGGGCCGGCTGATCCGTCATTTGCAGCTCCGGCTGCGCTTCCTGGGGAACACCTGCCTGAGACGCATGACGCTCGGCCATGCCCAAAAAGGTGGCCAATTGGCTTCGCACCCCTGGGCACGTTTCATCCGCGAACTCCTTGTGCAACTCCAGCTCAGCCTGGAGTGCTCGCAGATCTGACAACGCAGATCTTAGCTGCGCCAGGTACTCTTCGCATCCCGCCCTCTCCAACACGGGCTCACCGAGAAGCAAATACTGCCTGCACGCCTCGACGTAACGCTGTAACATCACACCCTTTCGAACAGCTCTGCCCAAGCTCGTGTTCTCATTTAGGCCGTCCGACACCGTGAGGTCCTGACATGTCGCACAGGCTTTGCCATCAGCCTCGTAGCGCGTTATCAGCCGTATGCGTCCAGTAGTCGAGCTGCTGCAGTGCGCTTCCTGAGGCTTTAGTCGGAGCAGAATCAGGCCTCCTTCGACAGAGCCATCTTCGGAAATGCCGCTCGGAAAAACAGTGTCGATGCGGACGACGGAGCGAACTCCGGCATCCAGGAAAGACAAGATCTTCTGAAACGCAGGCATAGGAAGCGCCCCTCCAGAAATCCGCTGAATGCACAGCATCAATGCTTGGACTGTCTGCTTGAAGCCCGCCGGATAGTATCTGTGTGTGCTGGGCGTCCACTCTGCCTCGATCGTCTCTTCGCGAGGGTCGAGAGCCGTGCCATATACAGACACAAGCTCAAAGACATCACTTTGGTGTGTGACCTGCACATCAAACGCGGCAGGAAAGAAGTTCCAGTCGAAGTTCGACACGGCGATTTTGTGCAACTCCTCCTGCCGTGTCATACAGAAATAATTTGCTCCGCGGTGCTTTGTGACCACCTCTGCCAAAGACGAGTTGAATTGCGCCCCAATGCCCACGAAAGATACGTAAAGTCCCCGGTCAGCCTGGGACGCCACTAAGTAGTCCAGTTGGTCAGGGTTCAAGTCATCCATGTCTGTAAGGAACAAAAGCCTCCGGTGTCTGGAGCCGTCTGCCTCCCCGGAAATTTTGATCGCAGCCTCCATGCCAGCAGCCAGCGTGGTGCCGCCTCCTGGTGTCATTGCAGCCACGCGTGCATCCAAGTCCGTCAGCTCTGACACATAGGTTAGCTGCTGCACAATGTGACCTTCTCTTGTGAAGGTTGCAAGACCAAATCGGTCATCGCCACGCAGCCGCTCAACCAAAGCAAGCAATGCATCTTTTGCCAAATCTAGCCGAGAGGAAATGCCGTCGCCACCACTGACGGCAAGTCTCATGGAACCCGACACATCCAGCACAACGACCATGTCCACGGGCACGCTATCTCGTGGTTGACCGTCCCGACATGATTTCAGAAAGCAACCGACCCAAACTTCATTAGGATGTCCGGAAAGACCGCGTGCAGCATGAGCAGCCACAGAGAGAGTGTCGTTGGTTTCTGGCCCACCAGTGTAGAACGAATGCTCGTTGAAAACACCTGCTGAGATGGCTGGGTTTGGCTACAGTACGGGCGAGTGGAAGGGAAGCCTCAACAAAAAAGGTCTTCACAGGCCGGCCCTGCCTTGGTAGGTCAAGCTGCTGGCTGCAGGAAGACCGTGCAGACAGTGCAGTTCACCTTCTCGCAGCGCTGCCTGGAAGGCGTTGCTGTCCATTGCGCCCATCGATGCTCCGCAGCCCATTCTGTCTTGGGATCAAGGATGGTGGCTACCGGCTCCTGTTGAAAACCAGCCCCGTCTGCGGGCATGTGCATGGACCACAATGTCACAATGCCATGCACCTGAGCTGGGCCTGCTTTGGTAACAAGCTTCAGATAAGAGCAACATGGCCTTGTCTGCCAGGGCAGCAGAACTTGCTTTCAACGTGCGCTTCATGAAGGCTTCAACCTGCAACATGGCGCACGGATTGCGAAAAGATTCTGTACCTGTGCGACTTGCATTATTCAGTTCAGGGGCTGAGGTTGTCTGTGTCTGCATGGACTTTCACGGCAAAGGCGTGCACTTCCGAGACTCTTCTGCATGTGATCGGCAGCACTAGGAGACTATAGGCCAAATATTTGCAGCAACAGGCAGAGCAAACAAACGCGGTGCCTCCGAGCGGAGCTGCTCGTTTTCATGACCTAAACAGGTGGAACACGACTTGCCACCCTCCCCTGACAAGTCAGTAACTGGGGCGCTCGTGTCTGAGGGAGGGGCGGACCTCTCGCAGGTCTGCGTCCTGGCCGGACTGAAGAAGTCGCCACTGCACCGGACTCTGCTTCAACTAGCTTTTTCCGAAGAGGGATCGGAGCCATGCAAGCGGAAGCAATCCGGCATGCAATGCGGGCACATCAGCTTGCAAGGCTAATTTCAGCCTTGAGCTGTCTATCCACACCATCCATACTATGAGATCCGCCGATACCCAGATAAACCACTTGCAGAACACATCACTCTCGGTACGTATCGAAGTGCCATGATGGCGCTCGAATGGGCATGAGCAAGAACTCCTGAACCTAATGAAGCGTAATCCTTCTGAAACTGGAATCACTGGCAAGTTCAGAAGAATGCCGACAGAAGAAAGCCACTTTGTCTTGCAACATTCATCTGTCAAGCAACATACTATCACATCTGTAGCTCGGTGGCTTTCATGGTTCTGCCGTTTGAAAAACGTTAGCAGCAGAGCAAAGGTTGTCCATGGTTGTCCTATGCCTGAAGGAGGCGGTCGCCTGGAGTGCAACCTAATCCTAGCCGGACAAGCTCTGCAAACAGCACGTCAGCCCGGCAGCTTGAAGCCACTGATGCTATCCTTGGGCACAGAAACAAAGAACTGTTACCATTTCATGGTCGAAGTATAGCCTGGACTGCAGATGCCTGCAGCACATGGTTGCACTGCATACCCAGTAGAACACATTGAAAGCCTTGAGAGGCAACTCGTCCACACATCGCAACTCTCGAATCGGCCTCAAGTGCTTTTGTAGCATCGTTTTGCCTTTCTTCGCAGCTCGTTTGCTTGCATGCCCGTTGGGCTGTGAGGAGTGCCTGTTGCATCGGAATCTCCGCAGAATCCCTCTACGTGATTGCCGCAGGGAGAAACACAGCTCCGTCAAGAGGCGATGGAGGCTCGATCTGCTGCAGGAAGTCCTGCTTCGTTGCAGCAGGCATGAAGGTCCTCCACCATCCGCATCAAGGTCTGCCAGGAGAAGGACGGTTCCAACCCTCGAGGCTACCAGGCCTTTCACTGCCACTGTGCAGTTTGCGCCTCCTTTTGCTGAGCCAGCTGTGACTTTTCATCTTCCAATTCCTTGCATACAAAATGGAGCCAGCAACGTGCATCGTCGAAATCGTCCTGCCTCGAGGAGCACTTGCAGCTTTTGGTTGCCTTCTCTTCGTTCCGTCAGTGCTCTGGAAGCCTCGACAGCGGTGCTGCACAGCGTCACAGGCGCAACGCACAAGATGGCCTCGTCACGCTCTCTTCGAAGCGCACGAATGCGGATATTCGCTGCCTCCAGGCAAAAAGGCGGCTTGAAGCAGTCGACTGCGGCCGGGACTGGAGCTTGCCTCGATTTTGTTGTTCGCTTCTTCACCAAGCTTTGAGAGCTCAACCTTGCAAGGGCGCTAAAACCTTTCGCTTCGGCATGAAGTCCGGTCCTCCGCACCTCATAGCTTTGCAACTCTCCACGGAGCTGAGCACTGAGACTTTGCTGCAGCTCGAGCTCCTCACACACGTTCCATACAAACTCAAGCTCCAGGCGAGTCTGTACATTTATACGACACCACCACATAGGCAATATAGGTAATGAAACTGCTCTTCCGGCCGTATAAGAATTTGAGGAAGACCTTCACAAATGATTCACAAATGTACAGTGGCATGTTCAAGTTTCAGCACGAAACTCAGTGCTCAGCATCAACCAACGCCAGCCGAATCCTTGTGGGCTTCTGCTTCTCGCCCGCGCCTCCCAGTGCACGAAACCGCTTTCTGTCCCGGACACGAACTGATGCTCGGCGTGGATTTGCCCTGTGGCAACTTCAAGCTCGTCAGGATAGTCCGTGCTCTTGGCGTGCATGGTTCACTGCATCTGCAAGCGTGTGGGACTACCTACGGCTGCTCCGAGTGTTCTGTGCAGCGCACACCTCCTAAGTTCAACTTCACAGCGAAGGTCTTCATGCGCGATTGTCGTTTGCAATGAACAGCGAACCGGAAGTGGCGCCCCAAAATTGTCAGGTCCTGGAATAGAATCCCAAGCTGTCTGTCAAAATTCAGAGCCCGCACTGTTCAGTTCTTGCTCCGCTTGTGGTCGTGAGCAGGATGGTACACGGCGGACTGAATACTTCACTCTTGGAAAATTCAGTGTTTCGGTGATTTCGGCATCTTATGCATCTTCTCTTGCGAGTAGCACTAGGGGGCCCTTTGGTACGCCGGTGACCAGTCCTGGCTTCGAAACTGCCCTGTCATCCCTGTCATGGATTCAGCTGTGCCTCGCCAGCGCGGCTTCGGTCTGCATTGCGAGGCCTCTGGCCTGGTCCGGGCAGCTACACGCGTGGGGTTTCTCGGTCTCCCATGGTCTCCAGATGTCTCCAGTCTCGCAGCGTGCCGCCTCTTCGAGCTGACGACTTGTCCGCTCTTCCAGCAACGTCCTGCGAGAGCGTGAACGGTCTGCAGCTCACCATGCGCACCTCCCACAATCTCACACTCACTCGGACTTCATGTCAGCCAAGCTGCATGGACGGCTTCTGCCTCCACTGGTCTCCTGCAAGAAATGGACCCGGGCACAAGATGGGCTTAACGCGTGTTCGCGTCACACCTCCGTTGAGAAGAACATCTAGAGCTTCTGCAGATGTAGGAGCGGTGGTTGCTCGGGAAGCAGACCTTGGTTTGCAACTCGCAGGTTCGCGACAGGTCGCCCAGGCCTGATGTGGCCAAATCCCCTCCGCAACACTTCGGAGGCCGCGGCTGCAGCTGCTCCTGCGCCAATGAATTGCACAAGAAGGCAGAAGCGGCAAAAGGCAGGTTCACTGGCCATGCAGTTGGAGTGGCCTGCAGCAGCTCAATCTCCTGGGCCTGCTCATCAGCCTGGGCCTAAGCACGGGTCACACTCATCTCTACAAGACCTACCCCTGAACGAGCACTTGAGCACTTCACCACTTCTCACTTCTTAGCACTGCGACGGTGCAGCGTGTTTAGCAAGGATCGGCCAAAGTTCCCCGCATGACCTAACGCGAAATGAACTTGCTAGCTGAGCTACTGAGATGGCGCTCATCCTTGTCTTGATCCTAGGTCCTAGGCCTGCAGGAGTGTTGGCATAGAGGTCGGGTACGCGCCGCGTCTTGCATACTTGTGTGCCACTGTACAAAGCTGTACAACCACAGCCCACACGACAACGAGGACCAGAAACCGCGAGAGAGTCAGAAGGAAGGGAGGGAGATAGAGGCGAAGAACTCTACGACGCTACGAAAGCGAAGAACCGAGACCGCCGAGACCGAGACCCTGAGGTGCATAAGTCGCTGGGGCAGGTCGCCGGCTCCATTCTGCTGGGCAGCAGCCTGTCAACACGCCGTCGATCACTGAAATCTGCTACGGGTACTGCACCCGTCCTTCCAATCCCTGCTATGGAGTTGCAGCTCAAAGCGCTCTTACAGAACCTTATAGACTCACATATGTCACATATGGCTCCAGCCCGGCAAAGCAGGAGCTGAAGTCAGGCGGGTCGCCTCGAGGTTCTGGGCGGTACACCTCAAAAACATACCCAGATCTCCGCATGTCTCCGCACTCTACGTATCAGGACAATCTCATGTTTCCCGTGTCGACACCACTGAGTGGCATTCAAGCTTAGCCGATGCACAGCGAATCGGGGGTGCCCTTCAAAATCAGATAAGGCGCATGACGGCATGCTGCTGCTGCGATCGCAGAAGCGGGCCCCACCGCTTGATGCGATCTTGCCTGGCATTAGATGATCATGGTCCCTCCGTAATGTCAAAGCACATCGGCCTTGGCAAATCTTTCGTCCATAACAGTCTGTCTGTCTCAGCGAGTTCGTCTGCCCGGCAAAGGGAGATACAGGCCTGGCAGACAACTCGACGCCGCTGGGCAGGGTTCTGTGACTGAACCAGGCATTCTGAGGGCCTTGGGCTGGAAAAGCTGTCGCGGATTGCTCATGATGCCCTGGCTGCGTCGTCGCTCATGAGACACAGGGAAGCTGGCCTTCATATCTACAGATCGACTGCGACTGACCCCTCACATAGATCCGTTCCTTCCATGTACAATGGGCACTCGCACAAAAAGGCGCAAAGCGGCCTGTAGGAAGGACTCTGAACTGTTCACCGCAAACGGATTGCCGTAGCCTGCAGCGGCTCCAAAGAGATGGCAGCACTACGCTGCAAGTACTCTACTACCCGAAGATTGACTGCCGAAGGTATGACCTTTCAGTTTGATGTGGCTGCAATCCTAGTGGTCTGTCCCGGTGAGTGCCTAGATGAGCCACGGAGTCGTTGAGTCCTGCACTTTCCAGATTGACCTTAGCACTGCAATCGCTCAGCAGCGCCACATGACGAGAACATCCTGGTTGGCTGAGTTCCCAATGTATGAGAGCCAGGCCCAAGTGAAGTACAACATGCAGTTGCAAAGGTCGGACAGGTGGCGAAGAGGAATGCGTACCTTGAGCGTGAAGGCATGCCATTGCAACATTGTACAATGTGTGTGTGACGGAGATCCGGAGTCTGTCGCAGAGCAAGAAATTTGCATGGCATGGCATGGTTCAGGCCTCACCCACCGGCCGCTTCTCTGCATGCTTGGAGAAGGGCGGGGTGTCTCGGGTGGCCCAAACCTGACATTAAGCTTCCTTGAAAGATCGCAGGCGTTAAACCCTAAAGTCCTAAAAGCCACTGCCTGCCTTTAGGACTAGGACGCCGTCCTCTGCCTGAGACCTGCCCGCACCAGAACGACCACAAAGTTGAGGCTGGAGTAGCATGTTCGTCCAGAAACTGCACACACACACAAGAGCCCTGCTTCGCAATGGCAATCGTGCCAAGGCTGTGAAGTTCATCGCCAGCCACACGGTGCTCAGAGTCAGAGAGCCTAACCGCGCGGGACCGTGTGAAGTCTGAAATCTGTCTCCGATGCTCCGACAGTCGCGATCACTCTTTGGCCAAGTGAACGGCGTGATGCCGAGTGTTTCGCCCACCTGCGTGTTCACGCAGCGCACCTCCAGCAATCGCGTTCTGTGGTCTTCGGTAAGGGAAGGAGGCTGCGGCACATATCGGTACGTAGGGATACGTAGGGGCAAGATGGGGCAAGGGTCAGATCAGGACGTAGGCGTGGTCTTGGATCAGACGCGAAAAAAGGTCGGATCAGGACGCGGGAGTTCCGGATCAAGCGCTGGGGATTCGGGACGCCGGCCACCGCACGGAGGGTCCAAACCCCGAATCATCCCAGGCCATGGGTGACGTCACGTTCGGAAAAAGATTTCGAAAAAACGGTGGCCACTCTCCGCAAACAGGCCAACCTCGATCGAAATCGCGAAGGCCGCATTCACAGTCACAAATATCGAAGACGCTCCAGGAAAATAGTAGGAAAGTCAACCACATCATAAAGAGAGTTTTTATCAGTTGTGCACTTTCCGACTCTCTCTCTCTCTCTCTTTTTCCGCATGTCTCTTCTGTGTTCATAAGTGCGACCACTAATAAATCTCCGGAGACCCCTCGATTTCGGACATCTGAACCTGAAAAGCCGAAAAAAACACGAGGCACGCCGAACGCCCTGGAGTGCGAAGGGGCTAATCTCACTTCGATTGGAGGGTGCGCGCGCGCGTCCTGATCCGACCGACCTGTGTCCTGATCCGGACCCCCGCTGTGTCCCTCGCTCTGGGATGATCCGCGACCCTGTGTTGGCGTACGATCCGTGACCCAAACGTGTTCATGCGCATAACGCTCAAGGGAAGGAAGGAAATGGAAGGAGGTTGATACATGGTCAGGCGTCTGGCGTTCCCGGCCGCCCCTACCCCTCATGGTAGGGGTGGGGGAAGGGGCTGGAGGGTGCTGAGTGGGGTCGGGGCTGTTGGAGCTGCAGCGGTGCTGTGGGGGGGCGGCCAGAGGGTCTGGGATCTTTCGCAAGCCCTGTGCAAGCCATAAACCCTATTGTCACGTAGGGCGTGTTCCTGCTTTTTTTTCACCTTAACCTGTACTTTAAACCCTAGGCTCAACCCTAAACCGAGTTTAAATGCAGGCTCTAAGCCTAAAGCAGAACATAAATCGTCAACCCGAACCAACCTACACTCCAAACTCTCCCAAAGCCGTTGCCGACTCGAAGCCTAAGCGCCTAAGCTAAACCCTAAACCCCAAAACCCCACAGGG